TCTGCTTCAGACACATCTGTGTAGTCGTGACGTGTGACATGCGTAATGGAGATCATCTTTTGAATACGAACAAATTAGTTCATATCGCTAATTGCTTCATTGGATTGTGTTTTTCTCCTTCATTCATTGTGTTTAGAATGTTTGAATCGTCGGACCGGAAGCGCAACGAGAAATGGGGGACACCTGTGCGCTGGCAGGAACTCATCTCATGGAAAACAAGAACGCAAATGAGAGCTGTCGGTATAGACTGCACCGACTGGTGAGCATCTTGGCCCTTGATTGAGCTATGGTACTACGAGATGCGAGATGGAGTTTACAAGCTCGCCAAGACGATAGTGCCGGATGCGAACTTCGGAAGCCACAACTTCGGCAAATGGACCGAAGTGTTCTACAGATTGGGGTTTGTTCACATGTGAGGCAGGGGGGGTGAGCATCATGGATTGGTAACATGCGTGGCGTTCTGCTCAGACGGTGGTTTGACACGGTGCGCAACACGGATTGAACGAACGAAGGTGTCGTCGACGTTCGAAAACAGCAACTACAGGAGGGCGACGCTGAAGCTTGTCAGACGTCTATTCAACRAAATSAAAGATGCAATGTTGCGTGTCATCAACGAAAGGTCGAGGRTCGYCATTCACGTGGCGAYGACCGTGATAACATGCCRCAAYGAAGAGGGTAAAAYGAAAAAACTTAAAAAAACTAACACCGTCACAAAGTTTAATATCGTCGATCATATTCATCGGCGCGAAAGTGGCAAACGGAACAACCTGCAATCCGTCTTGCGTGCTTATCCGCATTGACCGACGTTCATCTGTGCTTTTGATGTATGTGTTTCTTTTTTTTTTTTCTTTTTATCTTTTTCGTATTGGTCCGTGCAGTATGGATCCGGAATGGATGCAGAGGCAGTTAAGACAAGATTGGTGGGGAACGCCAATCAAATGGGGGGAACTAATATCGGACCGGTTGAGGAGACAGCGTAACGCCATCAGACTTGTCACCTGGGATTTTGCATATTACGAACCGTCACTGCACTTGTATCCTCTAAGCGCAAGAAGAAAGATTTACAACTTCGTGGGGGTGTGCGACCGTCAAAATAATAATAATTAAAAGAAGGACGGAACGTAAGATACAAGAAGGTATTCTACGGTTACGGCCTTGTGGCTGCCCCGGCGACAGAGAAATGCAGCGCCACCATTGCATGTGTTGTTGTTCAATACCACGAAGGGCTTACAATATGTGCAACGAAGACATGGAGACAAAAGATCCCGCGGAGTGATGCAGGAGACTCAATGGTGCGAGCGTACAAGCAGCACGTTAAACAATATTGTATTCACGCACGGGATGCAATGTTCGAATTCGTTGCTCGGAGGACTGCCATCACTGCTTCTATCTCAACATTCATCGTAGAGAACGAAGAAACAACGGGGGTCATCAACGACCTTGTTCACTTGCGCCGTTGTAGCACTTTCGGACATTTTGTTGTACAAAAGTTGTAGCTTAGCATTGTTGACAGAGATGGCAATAGAGTAGATCATACGCTCGTACGAGTGCTCATAGTGTCTTTTTTCGTCATGTGTCGGATTTTAGGGGTTTTTTTTTTCAAAATTATGTTAAACTGGATTTCCACCTTTTGTATGATCATGTACGACTGCACATCAACAGTAGTGTGGAGAAGTGTATGAACTCTACGGCACCAACTTTCATAGACCTTGTCTTAGTCAAAGATAGATAGATAGATAGATAGATAGATAGAGAGAGAGAGAGAGAGACATGAAGTCTCTCTATGTATATATATTTTCGCGCACATGTATCATATGTCGCATGAGTCAAAATCTGCATCAATGTTGCTTTGTATTTATATAAAGAAGTCAATTTTCTTTTGCATGAACTTCGAAAAGATTCACATAACGTTATTCGTAATTTTTGGGTGGCACGAAAAGTCTCAAACATTTATAGATGTCCATTGAGTTTTTTTTGTCATTGACTGAACCTGCCATATGTGTTTTTTAGAATGATATTCAATATGTGCCTGTTGTCTTAATGCATTTGTCAATAAAAAACAAAAAATAACTGATACTATATTGCGAAACATAGTAAATGTTAATCGATATGATAGAAAAGTACAATAGAAACCCATAATMAAGACCCCYATAGCTTYACATAATGCGAATGAAACTGTAACACCCCCMAAAATGTGTGAGAAAACAATGTAAAACTTGTGGTAAACATGAGCACAAACTATAAACAATGCGGGGTACCTACTCAAAATAGTGTGCTCAAAACGCTAAAAATCACTAGAATCAACATAAAAATGACAATTTTAATTTCGTTCAAAAAATATAAAATGTCCGTTTTGACGAAATCGTCGTTACACCCTTGTGCCCTGTACAAACACGTCAAGCGTGTCTAACCGCATGCAACGCGTTCAAAACATGAACGGGAAATGCGGCGCGTTCATTGAACGCGCGGCAACATAGGCTGGGAATGAGTACGGCCCAGTGTGCATGTCTGGTACAGAATGTGAGTACCACTCACGGGACATGTACGAGACAAAGGTCTATGGCTCATATGCTTCCTTTTCATAGGACTATGGCACCGCGGTTGGTGGGACAGTAATACACACTGGACTATCTCCTGTCCAACACGAAGTAGTGGCCTGTGGGCCACTTTACCTCCTTCATAGGCACATCGGAGCACCATCCTTCATACCCACCACCTCGTGAGTCCTTCTTTTCACCAATGCGGCCTGTTGACGGTTTCATGTTCGGTGTGGGTAGGGAATATGAGAACGAACTCCGAGAGCGGCTCAGGAGGCATGCGATGGTCATAACTGAAGCCTGTGATTCAAATGTCTAGCACGGGCCATCGTTTTTTCTTACAATTCATCCTCACATTAGAACAATAGCCACAGTCTCCCTTCGTCTTGGCAGCCCATGGCACCTGTGAGAGGCGGGATGACCATCTCTAGTTTGACTCCTAGACCTGGAACATGTTGCCCCACCAGTCCAAAGGCTCCAACATCGCAAGACAAATGTCAAAGCAACAACGAGATTCATGATGGAAAGAATGAGCAGGGTGGTATAAATTACATAATCAGTCACTTAGTTTGCAATGTCAAAGTGGGTGACTCGTCGTCACAAAATTGCGGTGCCATAGTCTTATAAATGGATACAGGGTGGGGCAATTGATAGTTTCTCAAGGTTTAAGCACATCCCCCCGCGAAGGTGACATTCTGGAGGCGAGTGATGGGAGTCCTTGCCCTACGGCAGGTCACTTTGTCCCCCAAGGCACACCCTCGCCTGCAACAAACGTCGTCGACATGTCTTTAGAGCAAAGACCTCAAACCTCCGCAGGGCAGGGATCTCCAGCTGAAAAGAACTCGGATCGTTGGGGGGAGCAGTAGACTGTAATGCTTTGTAGGATTCACAACGAAGTGAAACGGTTGATAGGTGATGCTCCACAATTTTGTTTTCATTTGTTCCATCATATTGTAAAAGGAATCCGGGGATGATGCTCATCCAAATATTGTTTGTTTTGTGTTGATGCATAACATATGTTTTTTATCATTATTATTATTATTATTATTATTATATTTTGTACGTTGGTGTACGAAACGTACAAGATGAACTACAGGGTCCTGTACAGATCCGTATAGATAGTATCCGTACGTTTCCTACGAAGAGGCCCTGTATATGTACGTTTGGTAAAGTAGTGTATGTATATATATATGTATATATATCACACGTGGTCAACCAGGGGTGTTATTTTCGACGAATTTTGCACCGAATTGCACTGAAACTGTCATATTGTGCTGATTTTTTGCTTTTTTTTTTGTTTTTCTTTTTGTGTGATATATATGTGTTTTATATATATATATATATAGGGTTACCTGACCGAACGTTCAGGGGGCCCCGACCTGGCCCCCGAACGTTAGGGCGTTATGGGTCCCGTTCGAGGGCCGAACACCTTCAGGTTTGGCCCCCGCCAAATTTTTTTTCGGGGCCTAAAAATAAGTTTTCGTTTTTGGAGTTCTTTTTTGCGTTCTCTATGATGTAACCTACAGGCCTATAAATTTGGAAACCATTCTGCTAAGCCAAAAAAACAGTAAAAATCGTCAAAGATGGGGGTGTCAAAACGTGCTCGCCCACTCACTATTTTGTTTTTTTTCACTTTTAACTTTTTGTTTTCACTTTATGTCGGGGGCTAAAAAAAATTATTATTTTTTGAAAAGTTTTTAATGAGTTATTGATGATGTAAACTACATACCTGTAAATTTTTACGGCATTTGCTAATGCCAAAAGATAATGAAAAATCGGCAAAGATGGCGGTGGCGAAAAGGTGCTGGCACACTCACTCATTTTAATTCTTTTTTTATTTTTTCTTATTTTTATCATAATGTTTATTTTCTGTATTTGATTTTTAATTCAAATTTGGTAAGGAATTTGGACGTAGTTCCCAGGCAAATGTTGTTTAGTTTATTTGTCCCCATAGCATTTGTTTTTTTTCGGAATTGTTTGAAAACTGTTTTTTTTTTTTTTTTTTTTTTGTCCACATTCGGCCCGAACGGCCGAACGCCTTCCGAAGGGGTCCAGTACGTTTGGGCGTTCGGGTTCGGGCGTTCGGCCCGTCCCGAACGTCGGCAACCCTGTATATATATATATCGTCACAAATAGAATATATATATATGTATACAAGGTCACCAGCCCGTACGTACGGAGGTCCCCGAGCCGACCTCCGGATGTACGGGCGTTCGTGGCCCCGTACGGGGTCCGAACCCGACGGCGTTTGGCCCCCGCAAAAAACTATTTCGGGGCCTAAAGTTTTTATTTTTTTTTTGAATATTTTTTTGTGCGTTCTCTATGACGTGAGGTACATGCCTATAAATTTTTTCATCATTTGGCTCAGCCAAATAAGATTTAAAAATCGCCAAAGATGGCAGTGTCAAAACGTGCTCGCCCACTTTTTTTTTCACTTTTTACTTTTTGTTTTCACTTTAGTTCGGAATCTAAACAATTTTATTATTTTTTTATACTTTTTTGGTGGGTTTTGCATTATGTGAAATACACGTCTGTGAATTTTCAAGGCATTTAGCTATTCAAGTATTCAAAGAACTGCAAGAGGCAGTCAACACCACATTAGGCGCAACGCCATACAAGCTGTGTGAAGTCAAAGCATCTTTATAAAAAAGAACGCACGCTAACACGTGGCTGCTGACAGTGGTTACGTGAAGCACAAAGATGTAAGGTCGACTCCACTGACGTCGAGAGACGTCAACATCCCCCAACCCCAGCTGTGTATTGTCCAAGACGAAGTGATCGTCCAAGACGAACCACAGCGACCCACGGTCTTTCCCCTAGTCCAAGTCGAACCACCGCCGTTCGGCGAAAGAGGATTGACTCATCTTCTTCTGTCCTATTTAACAATTGTCGAATCGCAAAAAAACAAAACATCATCAGCTGACCTACAGCCTGTTCCGAACCCAGAGGACCCGGTAGATGAAGAAGACAAAATAAGGGAACCAAAGACTACCTTCATTTTGCCTATTCTACTGAGACAATTCAAAATTTTAAAGGGCCTACCCTGGTCCCAACATACCGAAGACTCGAGACCCAGCCGCTGTTACAAAACACGATATTCTCAAACTGTCTACACCTGATCTCAATTACTCATAATTTGTAAACATTTGATAAAACATCTTCCAAATTGGTGCTTTACCCTTACTGTAGTTCCGAAGTGCCCTACTGAACCAGGGTCCAGGATAATTGTTGCGTCTCAACTCAGATCGAAACAAAATCAGTGTCTCCAGTACATCCATACCCATGCATGAATTCTGATCAATTCTATGCAAAGTGTTGATGATCACGGCCAGCTTTGCCTGTTTGCTAGAAAAGGAGTGAAAGTCCTGAATAGTACGAAAAGGAAGATCAGTCTTCTCCCGTAATTGCTGATCATTCTCCAGGGCCTGCGTCATATCCAGGAAACGAAATTCTCTTTGAACTGATAGTTTGTAGCCCAGAAATGTCCAACTTTCCTCCCCATCATCAGTCTGTTTCAGCGTCGAAGCTTCATCATAGCATCGCGTGAACCGTTCCATCAACTGTTCTGCCCTCTGCTTGTCACCCTTTTTCAGTGTATTGTAGGTCGTGAAGACACTCACATCGTCCACAAATCTCAATCCCGCAAAACGATGCCTCTGGCTATCGAGTGAGAGGAGAAAGTCCCATTCACTCTTAGCACACATCAGGCAAGCCAGTTTGGTGCTGGAGCTCTTCCCCATTGGTATACCAACCACTTGTTGAATCAAAATACCACACGCCTTGGTAAAGCAAAATTCCAATTCAAACTTCACAAAAGAAAGCAAATACTCGAAAGCGGGCACCTCGTCCTCTCTTCTTCACGAAAACACCATCATAGCCCTTTTCTGAAAACCACCAAACCACTCATTCTACGGCTCATTTAATAGTTTTGTGCGACAGGCGACTGAACATGTCCTTTATATCAAAGGACTTCCCAATGATTCTGACATTCTGTCTGCTTCTACCGAGTCGGTTATGGATACTTCGGAGTCTACCCTTCATGGAGGAGACTGACCTCAAGTTAAAGTGTCCCGATTCCGGCAGAGAAAAAAACAAACAGTTAATTCCTTTTGCCACCATCTTACACGCCTTCACCGACGGTTCATTAAACGTGGGGCAAATGGGTCGAAACCGTGCCGTATCTTTATGCTTCGGAAGTGCGTATGCACAACCGATCCTTCCCTTCTTATCCCATTTCCCCTGTGAAGAAAGACCTCTCTGCCCGTACTCCACTCGAGCTACAGTCAGCAACCTCTCTTCAGTCTCAGTACACAACCGATATCCCGCATTCACCAAAATGGTATCCTCCATTCCCTTATCATACATCAGCGGGCACATTACAACAGTATCACCAGGGTTCCGATCCAGTGGTGCCAGTACAAGACCATCCAGCATATCACGGACTTCAAGAATCCGATTAACACTACCTTCTATCATACACTCCGTTTGTTTAGCGAAACAATCCTTGACTTCCTCTGTTGAGAAATAAAAGACTTTAGACGTCAGTTTTGATGACAAACCCCAAGTTTGGAAAGCTTCGGAAACTTCGGTCGCAAGCAAAACATCCCTCCTACTGCTCTCGTATCTAGGTAAGTTCTTCGCATTAGGAGCCAAAGGTGGCACACCATTGATTTCGCCGATCCGGAAATGCACGTGCCCGTTCCTTTTTTGGATAGGGCATCCCAGTACATGGACAGCTGGTTGCACGTGTCGACGAAAAACGTCGATGGTTGTGGAGAAGATCGCCCACATTAGGTCCTTTCTTCCATACAACCCGTGCTCTTCGTTTTACCATATCCTTCAGAGTTGCCTCCATTTGCATGCCACCCACCTTCCTCCGTACTACCCGCATGATCTCACTTTTCTTGATCCGCTCATCGTACTGCGTCTTCACAACTATTCTAGTTCTCACATTCAAACCATTTCCGTCTCGTATGGCCCTCGTGATCATCAATCGTGCCTTCGATCTGCTTCGTTTCGTAGCGAAGGTTTTCACAGCGCTGTAGTATTTCATGAGCTCACTGATGTTTTTTGTTCGAAGATCTTTCTGTAATGGCGGACACTTGAACATCCGAATCAAATCGTCACGGAGTGCAATCGAAGCCGGTGAAGCTTCCGTGACCCGATTGAGCGTCACCGCCCCTGCTGTTTCAAACTTACTCTTACAGCACCTAAGTGGCCTTGATCTCCGTCCGATTTTTACCCGCGATTCCCCAAGGAGTCTCCTCACTAATCTCCACCCGTCAGCCCATGTCCTTCCACCATTACAGTGTAAAACTACAGATCCCCTCCTTCTAGTAAGACTACGAAGAGTTTCGATCACTTTCACTGTGTTTTCCGTCCTATCATCAATACGGATTTCCACAAGCTTACCCGTGTCACTCTTGTAATTCACCTTCTTCTGACCATTCCCCTGTCCTACCCAACGTAACCTTTCCCTACGACCCAGTCTTCTCTTAGTTTTTTAGGAGCTTTCCGACATTTAATGGTACGGACGTTAAGCGAGAGAGACCACTGATGAATCAAGGTTCTCTCAACTGCTTCAAGTTCCAATCGATCAGAGCTAGTGAACAAGGCTAGAGCGACATACTATGCCCAATAGTCGTCGCAACGACCGACTTCTCACTCTAATTCATTCTCGGAGAAAGAGCCTTCCGATTCGCACAACTCCTGAGCAACCTCCTCCTTCAGCACGACTCCCTTGTTACCTCGTGTTTGCATGCGTGGTGTCAAGGAAGGAGGTAGCGGTATCGTCGCTGGGTCATAGGCCACTACCGAACGTCAGGTAATCAAACGCTTTATCGCGAGTTCTCGATTGCCATAGGCGACTTTTTTCCGTCGGCAGGCTTCCTTTAGTTCGTCAATGGTCAGCGCATCGTAAAAATCGAAGCACTCCCGTTCGAATTTCTCCTTTCCACCTGGGCCACACGAGGCCATGATGTGCTTCAATGATAGATGAATTTTAGTCGGCGTACTCCCACGTCGCTCACATGCTCCGTTTTCAGCAGCTCGATATGTGCCCTGGCTTCGTTAGTCAGCATCCCCGCAGGCTTCTTCTCTGGTGTCACAACGGGTGGACTGTTTCCAACTGGTATGTCCGGTCCACATTTACGTTTCTCCGTAAGCCCGAGTTTACACGCGAGCATCCGCAACGGCACCAATTCTTCATCCTCGACAACTTCGGCAGCCCCCATGGTTCTCGGGGCTATGATCCGCCGCAACCTCTCTTTCTCTTTGTAAATAGTCTCGATCATCCCGCTGCTCTTCGCCGCCATCTTTCCCTTCTTCTCATACCTTTCCCGCTCTTCCTCTCGGTCTTTACGCATCTCGCTACTTAGTAGTCTAGCGTCCCGTTCCTCCTCCAGTCTCTGTCGTTCCTCCATGCGTTGCAGGCGCTTGGTCTCCCTTGTCCTCCTGGCTTCTTCTTCGGTTCGTCGAGGCTCCTCCTCAGCCTCCCGCTCGATTCTAAGTCGACGCTCTTCAGCCATCTGTAAGAGGTATTCCCTCATAAGCGTGTTGGTATCATCCGCGACGCCGCTCCGTTCACTCTCAGTCGATCAACTCCGTCTTGCGGCAGTTTTCGAGTTCCCTCCTGTGGTCAGCCGACCAGTACGTCCAGCTCCTGAAGGTTGGAAAGTCGGAACGAAGGTACAGCCAAGTGCTTTCGACTTCCAGTACTCGGCGCAATCTCTGATAAAGTGGCCGCCCTCACCGCATTTGTAACACTTCCTATTGTCAGGTGCTGGGCCACTTCCACCCTCCATGCCACCGCCAGAACTCCCTTCGCCACTCATAGTAACTGCTTGGTCCACTCATCTTGTCTCACGGTCTCCTACCGAACTTCACCATTCAATCTCTCTGGTCCCGGAGCAATTCGCAAAACACTTCTTCGCTGATACAGTCGCCTCCTCCACTAGGTACAATTGTCGAGTTGGTTACGACTTTAAGTACAAGTATTCAAAGAACTGCAAGAGGCAGTCAACAGCACACTAGGCACAACGCCATACAAGCTGTGTGAAGTCAAAGCATCTTTATCAAAAGCAACGCACATTAACACGTGGCTGTTAACAGTGGTTACGTGAAGCACAAAGATGTAAGGTCGACTCCACCGAGGTCGAGAGACGTCAACATCCCCCAACCCCAGCTGTGTATTGTCCAAGACGAAGTGATCGTCCAAGACGAACCACAGCGACCCACGGTCCTTCCCCTAGTCCAAGTCGAACTGCCGCCGTTCGGCGAAAGAGGATTAACTCATCTTCTTCTGTCCTATTTAACAATTGCCGAATCGCAGAAACCAAAACATCATCAGCTGACCTACAACCTGTTCCGAACCCAGAGGACCCGGTAGATAAAGAAGACAAAATAAGGGAACCAAAGGCTACCTTCATTTTGCCTATACTACTGAGACAATTCAAAATTTTAAAGGGCCTACCCTGGTCCCGACATACTGAAGACGTGCTCGCGCACTCACTAAATTTAATTCTCTTTTTAGTTTTTTAAATTTTATTATTAGTATTTGTTCTCCGTATTTTATTTTTATTTCAAATTTAGTAAAGAATTTGGATGTCATGCTCTGACAAAT